ATTATCATTATATCATTATCATTATATCATTATTATTATTATTATCATTCATTATTTATTATTAATATTTAATATTAATTACATTATAAGGCTTAAGCCAAGTTTATAAATGCCGGAATGATATATTTAATTTATTATTATTTCGTAATATTTTTCTTATGCACTGTCCCATTTTAATTTCAAATTGTCCCATGTTTTGAATTTATTTCAATTTTATTCTAAAATTTCAGTCAATGTCATGTGAAGCGTGACTGTTGTGTCAGGCCTAGGACCCTGCTTAGCTAGGGGCCTCAGCTAGGGAGGACCTAACTTAGCCCGTAATTTGGCCTAGGTTGGCCTCTTTTGCTGTAGCCTTAATTGATAGTACTTACTGGTGGGGGTACTACCTGTTGTTGTTGTAGGTAGTATTACATTTGATTTGGTACCTGTCTCTTATACACATCTAGATGTGTATAAGAGACAGTTGACTTAAAAAGTCATTAAAAGAGACACCTCTGAAGTCTGGAAAGCTCATTTCCCGCCATCTAAGAATTAAAATTTTTCCCGGACCCCCTTTTTGGGCGTTTTTTTATTAAAAACAAGTATGACTTTTTTTTTTTAGTACATGACAATCGACTGCTTCATCAAACTGAAGCCCATAACTTGACAGTACATGCTTCTAGGCGGTGCAACGATAGTTGTACCATCATTTATGTAGATTTAAAAACAGGTAATAATTTAGCTTGTTTAATATTCTCTGGCAATAAATTCCATGCCCTTATAGTGCATGGAAAAAAGAAAATTTTAATCTCCGTAATACTACTATTTCTTTCAAAATTTTTAGTGGCGTATCGAGCTGCTTTATTTTGAGTCGATTGTATTTTGTTGATTTGGTTTTGTTGATATGGATCCCATATCCTGTCTGCGCATATTCCAACGTGGGTCTAACGAATGTAGTGTAAGGTTTATTTTTAATTTCAATAGGGCAATTACGAAAGTTTCTTCTTAGCATGTTTAATAAGCGTATTGTTTGCTTTTTTTGGTCATTCTGTCAATATGAGCTCCCCATGTTAAGTTGTTGGTAAGCTCAAATCCAAGATAATTAAGTTGTTTTGTTGATTGCAGAATAACATTACTCATTGTATATTTATAATGCTGATTGTTTTTTCATTGCTTATTTTAATCACTTGGCATTTGTTGGGGTTAAATTTCATTTGCCATTTATTGGACCATTCTACTACTTTATCTAGATCATCTTGTAGTTGTTTGGCATCCTGGTCATCATTAATAAATTTAAACAATATGCAATCGTCAGCAAATAGTTTTATTTCAGACATTCTATTTTCTGTGATGTCGTTAATATAGAGTAAGAACATGAGGGGTCCTAAAACTGTACCTTGTGGTACTCCTGATTTTACATTTGTTTTAATATTGGATGTGTAGCCATCTACAACTGCTGCTCTGAACATCGCGATGGGACATAGTTTTCAGCCCTTGTATGGACATTGTATTTGAATCAGTGCAAAAATAAAATAGTGATTGATATTAAATAACCAATGGCCTAAAAACAAATCGTATTGTCCAAGCCCAATCCTTTGGGAAAATCAAGTTTAATAAATAAATACTTTTTAAATATTTCTTTTCCGATTTTCTACAGTGTTACGAATTTGTGATAACTGATGAGTTGTGATGTGAATAACATTTTTAAATTGCGAGAGTGTGCAACAACTTATTGATATCTTTGGGCTTATAAAAAGACATAGGCCCACCAATAGGGCCTATAGTTGAAAATGTTTACTCTGTAACAGTTTTCTGTGATCAATTCAAGTGATACGCACCAACGTTTTGGCATAATATATTATGAATGATGTACCGTACATATTTTTATTCTAAGAGTGGAAATTAAGGGGGTGCTTATGGAAGTATATGAAAATTCAGGGTTCTTATGGGAACTTAGAAAATTCAGGGCACTTTTTGAATGAAAAACATTATGTAGGCCTGGACATCTGTGGAAACCGTAGATTACGAATGGTTCTGCAGTAAACATATCTTTCAGAAAGCATGGCTCATGAAAAGAATGCTGTGAGTCTAGCTGATGAAATTAGTGGTGGTGGTGATGGTGGAACTCGTTGGCCATCTGTCGATGGATTACCAGGATCATGCAGGGCTTCTGGCAAATCAGATGAAAACGTGCTAGGTGCAAATCGTCGGGAAAAGAAAAAGAGAAGTAAGACCAGACAAATGTAAGAAGAGGAAAATTGAAAAGATACTGTCCAGGGAGCTCATATGGATCCAGGAGAAATATCCTAATTTTGAAATTGACATAAGAAAATGCGAGTCCACTCCGCAGATCAAATCATGCCAACCACAGTACCAGGATTTTGATTGGATTATTGGCTTGCTAAGGAAAATAAAATCACATGATATTGTTTCAGGGGTCCCAAGTTTCCCGGAACATCGTGGGAGTCTTCGGAACTCCAAGCAAGCAAGAATCTCCCGGAAAATAACCCATATCCCGCAAAATTCCTAATATCATGTTTTCACCGCTTTATTATCAATTGTCTCACAGAAGTCATTGTCAATATATATCACAATGTGCAACAAAATAAAATAAAATGTTACAAAAGCTCATTAACCAGATCAAGAGGGAAGCCCCCACCCCCAAATGTTTGTAAATTAAAACAAATGGAGAGAAAAGGAAGATCATATTCAAATTTAAGCCTCTGAAGGCCATTTCCGGTCATCTAGAAGTGTCATAATCATAAATTTTCTTTCCTCAGCCCCAACCATAGTGGGGTTGAGATGGAACAGACCCTACATCTGTTGGCGTCTGAAAGGATGGTTCTTTGGCAAAGAATCAATACCGTTTTGGGAACGCCAAAAAACTGTTCCTCGTATAAAAAAATCATGGCCATACGCAAATACAACAGTGTTTAAATTGCTCAATCAGCATCTGCGTCCATCGGATATATCGAGCAACTGCAAAAGTACTGGAGATGGAGATTGGTATGGAGTTCCTCAAAGTTGGAGCTGACACAGCAACAGCTCTCCCGCCATATGGATGTTATAGTCTTTGGAACAACGAGCTGACATTGGGAACCTGACCTAAGAGCTCTGGTGGGCTAGTAAATCTGCTCGAGCTCAGATAGGTAACCAGACGCCAGATTGTGCTGTGTCTTGTATGCCAGGACTAACACCTTGTATTGTATCCTTTGCTGCACTGGAACCAATGAAGGTCTGCAAGCACTGGGGAGATTTAATTTGGGTCTAATTTGACCAAAGGTCAATGGCTAGGCCTATGACTAGTACTAGTACTGTAGAACTGTAAAAAAGGACGAAATTGAGAATTAATTTTTATCAGACTTTGTAAAGTACTCAATAATTTATGACTCTTACATGACTTTATATTTGGACATATTCTTGATAAAGTTCTTCAATAATGATCTAAAATGTTGGATGTGTTATAACACAGTTCAGTGACAGGCCTACAATCGACACTATAATTTATTATTATGAAGAATCAGCAATGTTAACATTTGTTTTATTTTAATATCAAATATGAGCTATTATTCAGAATGAGAAATCAGTGTTTGTTTGTATCTTGGTAGCCGTGCAAGAATATTGTTGTTAAAGCTTTTGTTATACAGGACATTTGTGTCAAATTAAATTACATTCTAGGTATTTTTTACATCATGTATGTAAAATATCCGTCCAGTATCAAATATGCAACCGTTGAGGAGTCGAAATGCAGTTGCGACAAAGTTTTTATATTGGTAATCCGATACAGTTATCGACAGATGATAAGAAATCCATTTCTATCTCAATTTTCAGTAGACACACCCTCTGATCTGTTGCTATGCTCAACTTGAGACCACTGGAAAGGTCACATTCTATACTGCAACCTCAACTGCATATCTTACATACTGTACTAATATCTTTTGAAATGTTGCTAATAATAATGGTTAAGACTAGAAATTTCAAATTGCAAGTGAAGTGCTGCGAAGTACAACTGCATATAAATGTTGTTCGAACAAAATTATTTATGCGAGTCAAGTGAAAATAATGAATAATAAAAAGATAACA